CGAAGCCTGTGCCAGGAACACCTGTAACCGTGACAACAGCTGGTGAGCGCCTGTAACCGTGACAACAGCTGGTGAGAGCCTGTAACCGTGACAACAGCTGGTGAGCGCCTGTGTCTCAGCATTATACCGCACATCCCTAACACACACACACACACACACTCACACTCTCTCATACACTCACACACACACACACGCACACTCTCTCATACACACACACAGGCGAGAGAATCTGAAGGAATGCTGGGAAAGCATGACTGTCGATAAGCACATGCATGTGATGCTGATGATTAGGGCGTGGCCTAATGCTTAGAGAGTCGAACTTGTAAAGCAAAGGTCGTGGGTTCGAGTCTCGATACAGGTGGGAGTGAATGACCAGCGCTCTCTTCCTCCCTGAGACCCTTGAGCCAGACCCGGACCCCCCGCTGCTCCCCGGATGGTGAAACGCAGAGCACACTCTGAGTGTGGGAACCATACCCAACTACACGTCACGTCCTTTCCTTCAACTTTCACGATTCGATTCACAAGCTTGCAATTTTATTCAATTACAAACTCGATTCGCCATCGATCAGGTGCAGTACACACCTCTCAACTTATGCTGTAAAACATACACTACATTACTATAACACTGAAGGTTAACATGAACTGATTTGTATACAAACACCTAAATTACACTCAATGAAGTTCTTATAATAATGAAGTTACAAATACATCATAATATTTCTACTCCAATTCGTATTTTTGAATTATAAATAGTGGCTGTCATAAAAACGCGACGGATTTATTCAAACATAACTTAACATTGAAGAACACTAAAAATGATAATGAATATGTTATATGGTGCATATTGTTTAGAAAAATGCTCCTCTCTAGAGTTCAGTTTCTTCTGAGGTAAATGTGATGTTATTGTTACAAGCGGCTGGTTATATTAGCATCTCCGCGCAGCTGAAACACTGACAGTGATTACATGACACACAATACTGACTGCAGTCTTTCTTTTAACTTAGCTTCGGATGTTCATTCATGTTTATTTCACGCTGGCGCAGGGATCTGTCACTCACATTAAACAGCGCCAAAACAGCATTTATTGTCTGAATATTGTAAGAAAATGTACAGAATTTGAAATCTGAGACTTTGTTTCATATCTAAAACACCAAAGCACAAAGCTAATTGCGATTTATTGGATGTGAGGCACGATATAATGTTCCGTTCATTAACTGAAAACAGGCCAGACTAATCGATTCTTGGGATTTAAGATGTAAAAATAAAAATGATTAAAATCGAGAAATCGATATTTTAGCCAGCCCTAGTAATGATGTCATGAACACGAGTGACGAGAGCTCGGCTTCACCGGAAACTGCGCCGCTGGATGAGGATGAGTTACATGAGAAGCTCCTGGCTTCATCTTCATCATCATCATCATCAAACACGAGTGAAGAGATACGCGTCAGAGCTAATCGACTTCTGACCGATTCCTCATGTGTATTCATATATTTCACAGCTTTTCATATGAAACTATGAATGTTTATCGGAACTGAGTAACAGAGTTTAATTGAACTCACTCGCGCTGCTGGACGCGCCGCCGAAGTTGAACGCCATGTTTCCGGTTCCGCCGCGATACAGTCCGACCGGAAACAGAAACCATCAACAAGTGGTTCCTACGCGCGCACACACACAAACACACTCCTGCAGGACGAGCTCAACAAACCTCTCTGTGAATTGATGTCTGCGGTTGTTTTTGTTCTAGTAAAGAGCACTGATGATGAAACACTTGAGAAAACTAACAGCACCCTAATGAACTCATCACCATTACAGCATCTGTCTTAACTCCTTGAACTGGGCTGTGTTTCCAGATAACGCGCTACGAAGACTCTAAAGGTGCACCTGTTCCAGGTGTTCCCCGAACTATAGCTGTGAGTCACGTGACGGCTGGAACACCTGGCGGGAAAGCATCAGAGAACTGCAGCACAAGCCTGTCAGGTGTCCATCTGCTTCACAGCCGCAAATATTTGCAATCCATATTAAGCACCCTCGGCAATATTTCAACCATTAAACAGTGCGACAAAACGTTGTAAAAACACTTAAAGTGCCTTAATATATTTAAAACAGTGATATTCTCTATATTTATGATACATAGTTTACATATGCAAGCATTAGGGCCGGAATATGAACGCAATCCGCTTAATGGTTCAGTGTTTTCATTCTAATGGTTTTCTATGTGAAACTTTGCACATTGCGTTTATATTCTGGCTTCATCTGCTTGTACAAAATATACATCATCAATAAGATGTTTACTGAATTTCGCCTTTTAATATCTGCGTTTTACTACATTACTACTCAATGCAAACTGCGTAAAAATAACTGGCGTCCAGTGGAGCACAGCTTCGTTTGCCCTCCAGGTGGGCGTTCCTACACGGGTGTGACGTCACGTGATCAACAGCTCAGGAGGCTTGCGCGTGACGTCACCAGGCGCTGTCCACGGCGGTGGTGCTGAATTATTTGATATCGATGGCTCGAGAATCGATTATTCATTCTATGCACGGGTTGCTTCACTGCATTATGTGAGAAAACGGTGTTCTTTATAAAAGCAGTGTTGATTTTAAATAGACACAGAACTCTTTCCTGTTAGAAAGCAAGGAACTTGCGTGACACTTTTACTTTCGCTTTGCATCATACATCACATCAGTGAAGAAAACCAAGAAAATTATATGTCCAGAGCACCTCCCAGTGGTCACCACATAAAATACAAGGGAAAAAATTTACATGCGACACTGCTTAATAATTTAACAGCTTTTAACAGAAGAGAGAGAAAAAATAAATAAATAGTGCTTTCCAATAGTGCCAACAAGAAGCACTTCAGAAATAGATTAAATTGCATTTATCTGGACTCACGGGATCTTACAAAAATAATCCAAATTGCAAACTAAATCCAACCCTCAGGGATTAATGTTCCGTCAGTTCATAAAGAGAGTCACGTGCTCCATTCCTGAATGATTCAGCTGTTCGAACGAATCAACTGAATGAATGATTCAGTGATAAAATCAGGGACTTACCGCCACCTGCTGGTGGATTTAGTTTAATTTTTAGCCTATAATTTCAGTTATTTGAATCATATTTCTGTATTCAAAATTGTATATTTAAAACATGAATCTCCACATGAATGTATGAATGTAATTGCACTCATGCCTCCTCCGAGCCTCATTAAACGTCTGGAAATACACCCATTCTTCTGTGCC